GTACGTCGGACGTTCAGCGTCGCCTTCCTGTAAGCCTAGAAGTTTGACAATGGCATTTAGGACGTCGAGTATGATTCTACTGACGTTCCAAACGCCATTGTCAAACTTCTAGGCTTACAGGAAGGCGACGCTGAACGTCCGACGTACACGTTTTCGCGTTAAAAACGTCGGCCGCAACCTCTCTAGTATTAATTAGATCGTCGTGTTTCCCAAGAGGAAGTTAGCGACTACTTTTATGTTAATTACTTCAACCCCCCTTTTCAATAGACCTTTCTGTCTATCAGACAAGTGGTATGTTAGCATTCGACAAGGAAAATTACATGATACAAGGTTACCAATTCAAAGAATTTTTTACAATGTGTTAGATTACTCACTCGGTGTGATAAACTATTACGTAAGATAACCTCTGTAAATGTAAATTAAATACTATAATATACAAGTTAGAATTACGAAATAGCCTAATAATCATAATCTTTGTTGTCATTTTTTGCCCGAGCAACTCCAGATTCATCTGCTAGTAATTTTATAAATAACTAGTGTTGCAACGAATAGTATATTCGGCCTGAGGCCGAATACCGAATATTCGGCTAGAAGCGTAGCCGAATAGCCGAATATTCGGCCAAACTATTCGTTTTTATTAACGCACGTACGAAAATTGGCGCGCAAACCGCATTATGACAAGGACCCTGCTCTCTATTGGCCCGCTGTCACCACGCTTCGCCAATCGCGTTAATTCTTGACAGTTGTAGCGGACAGACAAGAGCGTCATGGCAGTATGTGATAAATGATATCAAATCCTACACGTGTAAATAACGGAAAAAGAACAGAGAAGGACCGCGAAGTGAAAATGTGAAAATAAATATGAAATTGAGTTGATAACATAATCGAACAAGACAAGGCAGCTTATTGGCGCGAAATTCGCTGCCGTCAATGCCAAACAATTGTTGTCGTAGACTTCGGAAAGCTAAATGATTGTAATGAAAGTCACTTAGCGTGACGGGAGAAAGCCTGAGGCCGTTCGGCTACCGAGCTCTCTCGAATCTGTGAAATCATAACTGTGACTTATACCGATGTCCTATCTGTCTCTTTTCTCCTTTATCACCAGGCTATGAGTCACGTAATTGTAAAATGGGAAATCTGCGACGGTAAAGTGACGAATGGAAAGTATCGTGAGCGCGTATTATGATGTATGAATAGGCATACGTGGACTAGAGCGATAGAGGAAATAGAAAGGGGAGAGCAGAGACCAGCGCTTAAAAAGAAGAATAGTCAGGGTCACACGCTCGGATAAGCGACGATTCTCGAACGAATAGATGTGTACTTCTGCTGATATTTGTAAGTATAAATTGTGAATACGTGTGTAAGATCCGGAATTTATTAACGAAAATCCCGCTCTTTTATTAACTAAAATTTTAATTAATTCACTTTCGTTTATGTAACGAATTAGAAGAAAAAAACGATCTTAGCCGGTAATGTGTAAAGCTTCCTGTCATAACTATCAACATCTATTGTTCTCTGCAGAATTTGCATCTCGTCTTGCACGAAAGTTTATAGTTAGCATCCCACTTTCGTCACTTGTTTTAGGTTCCTAGGACACCTATAACCTTTAACTCATGAACATCCGATCTCGTGGTGGAAATTCCCCACAAAAAGTTATAAAAGATAGTTCTTACCCCCTCTCGGGGGCGTCTCTTAACGAAAGCCGGACCGACGACATCTAAGTGCCTCCACGGAACCTACAAAGAGGTATGGAAAGCGGGAAACTCTCTCTCTCGAGAAATTAGGCGATTTAACTGTGAGATTTGTGTAGTCTGATGTCTAATTCGCATACTTTAATAAATTGTTGTTATATTGGTAATAAATGGTAGACTCCTTTACTCGATCACGCCCTTCACCTTATCGTCGACCTCAAGATTCTCTCCCTCCACTGACCTGATTTATCCTCCTTACTAGTGACGCAGGATCGCGAGACCTACGGCCTCCCCTGTGGTTCACACGTGTGACTAATATTGATATTTTCTTTTTTATTCTGTGCATGTTATAAGTTATAAATAAATACAGTATAAACAAACAACGAGCTGGTCACGTAAAATTTTCCGGGTTTTTTCTAAGTTCGTAATAGCAATAGATAGTCCAACTTCCTATACCCTATAGAGGGGTCGGTTTCCTATATAAAGTTTATCTCAAAAAAACTTTCCCTCGTTTTCCGTGTCTACACACAAGTAAAATAAAACCTCCTTAACAATAATAAATTAAAATGTTCAAATTTTATCAAATAAAGTTTAACTATAAGTATTTATAAAGCAACTAATTTGCATCTATAAAAGAAGAATATCCTTTATCCTTTATTCCTTTATCCTTTACAATAATTTACAATAAATAATGCAGTAATTAATTAATTAAGTATCTGTACTTGTAACACATTAATAAATTAACACGTTAATAAATTAACGCGAACTTATAGCATCATAAAATATTAAATCATAATACAAATTATTATTCTAATCAATTAATCGATAATTATAGATATTTTATATATAAATAAATAGTTTTTTTTAAATAAGTACTTTCAGACTAAGTTAAAATTGACAATTAATTATTAAGGATGAAAAATTACTTACAAATTTATTTGTTTTTTATTTATTTCTAGTGAGGAGACATGGAGCAAATTACTTTCTGTTTACACAAATATCGCAATAAAATAACCTTTCTCTGATTTTATTACGTGTTAGAATCATTATATTCAGAACCTGTTTGAAACGAAACTTGTCAAACTAGTACATAGTAATAACGTAAGCATTTATCTGATATTAATTATGTTTTATTTCTCAACTCAAAATTTGCATATTCATAGTAAAAAACTGGATTATTCTAAGCTTGATTTAATGGAAATCTAGTTAGTATTTTATATATTATCATAGCCTTTTAGTCTCAATAATATAGAAACGTCGGACTTGCCTCTGGATTATTTAGCACAGTGTTTCTCAACGGGGGCGATATCGCCCCCATGTGGGCGTTTTTCCATGTTGAGGGGGCGATTACTAACAATTTATATTTTTGGGGGCGAAAAACAATTTTCTGGGCGATATAGTAAAACATTATATTAAGAATAATTAGATATTTTATTCGTTATATCGTACAATAATTAAACAAATAACATTATACTAGTCACTAGTCTATTCAATGCAGTACAAATTTGGCGTTAGCCTTGGCCCTCGGCATCGGAATTTTGATGGGAAGGGGGCGATACTACAAACTGTTTTATTGAAGGGGCGATACTACAAACTGTTTTATTGAGGGGTCTATACTACAAACTGTTTTATTGAGGGGACGATACTACAAACTGTTTTATTGAGGGGCGATACTAAATAACGGTTTCATTGAAGGGGCGACACTAAATAACGGTTTCATTGAAGGGGCGATACTACAAACTGTTTTATTGAGGGGTCTTTACTACAAACTTTTTTATTGAGGGAGAGATACTAAGTAACGGTTTCATTGAAGGGGCGATACTACAAACTGTTTTATTGAGGGGGCGATACTACGTAACGGTTTCATTGACGGGGGCGATACTAAGTAACGGTTTTATTGAAGGGAGCGGTACTAAGTAACGGTTTTATTGAAGGGGCGATACTACGTTGAAGGGGGCGACGATTCGTTAGAGGTTGAGAAACACTGATTTAACACCACGAAGACCCATTTCGCAATGGTTTCGAGAACCCAATTGTCTGTATCAATTAGACAGCTTGTTTTTCATATTTATCGGTATCAATAGTAACNGTTGACACTGCCGCAAACCATTCATGGATCTGTAGAACTCCGCAAAGAACACATCAATTAGTTGTTTTCCCCTTATAATTTAATTGATCTATTTTAACTTTGTTCTCTGTCTCGATTATCTCAGAGGGTAAGGTTTTAATTTTTTTTCCAGAAATCAGAAAGAGAGTTAACATTAGAAAAGAAAAAAAAACTGTAATAGTTTTTCTCTTCTTTTCCTTAATTATTATTCAAGTTATTTACATCCTCTAAGTAATTGTTTCGATTTTCAAGAATTCTCCAATTTCTATTCTTAACCTTCTTAAATAAAGCTTTCTTCTGTTTTATTAATGTCAGCGTGTGATCAGATATGAAATTCTTTGGCAATATCGTATAAATATTTAACATTTTTTTCGTTTTCTTCCTCCTTATCTTAATAATAGATCTTGCCTATACTATGCCAAACATATCCAATCGGGGATTTCCCGAAAAATACATGTTTTCTGAACAAAGGCAGCATAACATTTACTGTTTAATTCCGTGCACGTTTGGGTAAATCCCCAAAACTTCATATTAGTCTTTTACTCGCAAGGTTATGTTGAGTATTTGCTTTTAAATACGATACATTCGGACTGTTCCAATTATATTAAAACGTCGGAATTAACTGCGATACTCGATACTAATTCAAACACAAATTTCGTAATAAGTAAGTAGATTTGTTACTTTTTAATTAGATTCGACAAGGCTTAATTTAATCATTTCAAAACACTCACAAGTGATAATACCTTATACCTTTATTTTATATGATAAAATAGTAGTACTGTTCATATAAAATAAATAATACCTTTATTTTATATGAACAGAACTACTACAGTATATTTAAAACCCATTTAATTTTTATATTTTAATCTACGCGTATTGAACGAAAACAGGTTTAAAGCGCTTTTTTTTAAAACACAAAGCGACATTAAAAGTACTTTTAATGTCGCTTTGTGTTTTAAAAAAAAGCGCTTTAAACCTGTTTTCGTTCAATACGCGTAGATTAAAATATAAAAATTAAATGGGTTTTAAATATACTGTAGTAGTTCTGTTCATATAAAATAAAGGTATTATTTATTTTATATGAACAGTACTACTATTTTATCATATAAAATAAAGGTATAAGGTATTATCACTTGTGAGTGTTTTGAAATGATTAAATTAAGCCTTGTCGAATCTAATTAAAAAGTAACAAATCTACTTACTTATTACGAAATTTGTGTTTGAATTAGTATCGAGTATCGCAGTTAATTCCGACGTTTTAATATAATTGGAACAGTCCGAATGTATCGTATTTAAAAGCAAATACTCAACATAACCTTGCGAGTAAAAGACTAATATGAAGTTTTGGGAATTTACCCAAACGTGCACGGAATTAAACAGTAAACGTTATGCTGCCTTTGTTCAGAAAACATGTATTTTTCGGGAAATCCCCGATTGGATATGTTTGGCATAGTATAGGCAAGATCTATTATTAAGATAAGGAGGAAGAAAACGAAAAAAATGTTAAATATTTATACGATATTGCCAAAGAATTTCATATCTGATCACACGCTGACATTAATAAAACAGAAGAAAGCTTTATTTAAGAAGGTTAAGAATAGAAATTGGAGAATTCTTGAAAATCGAAACAATTACTTAGAGGATGTAAATAACTTGAATAATAATTAAGGAAAAGAAGAGAAAAACTATTACAGTTTTTTTTTCTTTTCTAATGTTAACTCTCTTTCTGATTTCTGGAAAAAAAATTAAAACCTTACCCTCTGAGATAATCGAGACAGAGAACAAAGTTAAAATAGATCAATTAAATTATAAGGGGAAAACAACTAATTGATGTGTTCTTTGCGGAGTTCTACAGATCCATGAATGGTTTGCGGCAGTGTCAACTCAAAGCAACATATAACAAACGCCAGTATATCTAATACTTTCTTTTTGGAAAACACAACTCCCTTAGAGGTCTATAATACTATAATGAGGTTGAAAAACAGTTCTTCGGACATTAATTTTGTAAATATTAATATTTTGTCGTTATATAAAAATAAAGGATTTAAGTGTAAGATAGAAAAGTACCGTCCAATCGTAATAGTATCTATTCTGGCATAAATTTATGTCAAGATTTTCTACTTTTATAAACAAATTCCACATTATTTACCGCAATCAATATGCTTACAAACTGGTTTTTCGACGGTAGACGCTTTGTTGCATTTAAAACAATCGTAACTTGATAAATCAAATAGTATTCATAGACCTTTCAAAATCATTTATAGCTTGAATTTGAAAGTTTTAGAATTAAAATTACAAAATGTTGGTCTAAGAGGACTTCCTTTAAGTTTATAAAAGTCATATTTGTTAAATAGAACTTAATACGTTAAAATAAAACGTACAGGTTATTTCCAGTTCTTTTAACATTCTCACTGCTTTGTTCTATTTGTTGATGTTTTTTTCTTAGACGTTTGAGAAAGGCCTACTTGGCCACAGTGTCTTTTTGATAATAAATAAAATACAAATTACCGACGAATGCTAAACTCTTGCTTACAAATAATTCAATAATAATTCGATATTGTAGTCTTCGAGACGGAATCTAATGTCTTCCTCATTTGTAATACAGTGGGTGATCGGTTAACGAACATAATCCGTTCCAAGACTTTGTTCGCTATCCGAATTGTTCGTTAACCGATTATTGATTTACCATAGGTTTTAATGGAAATTTAATTAATTCTTTCTGGAGACCCCCAAAATAAAAAATATACTTTCTTACTACGTTTATTTATATGTAATAATAAAAATACATACGTACACAGTCTTGCGTTTTTATTAGTCATGTTTTTTCCGTTTGAAAGGGTTNTGAAGATTAAAAAAAAAAAAAAAAAAAAAAATTATCCGTCAGAAAAATAAAAGGCTGGAATTACAAGGGAGAGTTTCGAAGGTTCTTCCCTTGTCTTCGGGCAACAATTCGAAAAGTTTCGAATTGTTGCCCGAAGACAAGGAAAGACCAATCGGTATTCATTATTTTACGTCACTTCTTCTTGTGTTTGTTCTGTGAGGTGTTCGTTAACCGATCATCCACTGTATTAAAAAAAAATGTAAATAAAGGGCAGAGAAATAAGTAGATTTGTATGTCTTTTAGTTACTTTTTAATGTCACCAAATGGTAAACTTCAATTGTTGACTGATTTATTTCTATCATATCTTTTATGGGGTGTAGCCGAATCGCTTGTTCTTTCTGTAATCGTAAATCATCAACCTGTGGGCTGTTCATCTCGATAATCCGAAACAACATCGTAGTTGTGGAGACAGTTTCTGGTTTTTATAATAATATTTAATTTGCAATATGTCGCTTAAAAATTGTGATATATCTGATCTGTTTTTTGTATTTTATCACGCACTTATCACACTTTACGATGGTTCACTTTAAAATATTATGTACATTTTAAAAAATTAAAAAAAATTTATTTAATAAACATCCTATTAAACTGTTATATATATTAGACAGATAGGTCTATATTTTCAAAAAAAAAACTGTAGGGTTTTAAACCCATGTAAAGAAATAATACGGCCTATAGATTATAACACTGATCGGCGTAGAAAGGGGATGATGGTTTTTCTAAATCTAGGTCAATACACGTTTTAGTATTGATGATGTATATTTGATTCTATCTATATGTTATTTACACTATTGTACTAACAGTGGTATGCAGTCCTTTTCAGACTAAAATTTGAAACTCTTCAATCTAACTTGTTAAAATATCTTCATTGTCTACAGGCTAAGTTAATTACCATCTTGACCATTCCAAATCTCTGTATCAGATAACCTAATATCAAAGATTTATAAATAGTATAAACGAAGCATGTATTTAGCGTAATAACGTCGATAGCATACATACAAACCAATAGGTTATAAGTAATATAATATCTGTCATTGTATATAATAGCGTAATTATTCGTAATTACGTATTATATACAATGACAGATAATTAGCGTAATTACGTATAATAGCGTAATTATTCGTAATTACTCTATTATAATAGCGTGATTATTCGTAATTACGCTATTATATAGAAGCCAAAATGTCTATTTGTTTGCAGCAACGAGAAGCATGAGCAATCTGTCATTAGAAGTACCACCCGAAAGCCATTTCTATTCGAACTGATCCCCATTTAAGTGTTATAGACGTGAAGAGTCCAGAAAAGTTTCAAGTGATTAAAAATTCCAGCCCTATGGTGAGGATCGAACCCAGATCGACCACTCAACACTGATGGATACCCCAAGGAATGTGTTCTAACTTGCAAGTTTATACTATGAAAATTAATATAAACTTGTACACTTGTACACACATTATCTAAGAGTATACTCGTCATCCAAAGTACTATAGTATTCAGGTCAATATGCAATTTTGGCCATCCTGAATATTGGTGTTAGTCACCCTATTGTTCATTTTATGATCAAATAAGAAAAAAGACGAGGTATAAGTTTAATTAAATTCGTATCCCAGCATACTCAATACGTTTATAAATTCGATAATACCCTGTAAATTGCATACCAACAATTGAAAAAACGTCTATAAAATCAAAAATTATGTTATTATTGCATAACATACTGCAGAAAAGTTTAGTTTTAATTACAAAATGGGAAAATTATAATTTTAATTACCAATTTATAAGTTTAATTTTATTCAATAAATGATTTATAAAATATTCTTTTATAGTTGTTTCGAAATATATGCTCATTTTAATAATAAAAATTACATTATTTAATACATTTTACAACCAGAATAAGTGTATGTAAATATCCACTTATTATTAATTTATACATAACTTTCTTTCTTACATATTTCTACTCTTATATTGCATACATCTTAGAAGAAAACAAATTCCAATTATATTAACAAATAAAAAATGAATTTAACAACAAATTTTAATCTGTTAATCCCTTCCCCAAAAATTTCCAGTAATTGTAATTATTTACAAGAAAAATGAACAACTATTTATTAACATTTAAGGAGTAGACAATTCGAATACAAGTATTTCTGAAACCCCACTAAAGACCTCCAAGTATCCAAGAAATCCTTGTAATTTTCCAATAATTTTTGAAAGAACTTGTTTACATCGTCACATTTTATATTATTTTGGGCTTTATTTAGATAAAAATTGTCGATGCATTTAAAAAAATCCCGTATGCTTCTGTCTAGAAAGACATCACATTGATAAATTTCATTTATAACACATACAATAATTTCAATGTACTTAGAAATATATGGGCATCTATCGATTATGGTTATTAATATGTCACATTTTTGACATTTAGGTATAATGGTAGTCATTATGGGGGTAGTTGGTGTTGTTGTCTGTGTCGCCTCTGTTGCGGTTGTAGTAGTAATAGTCGTAGTTGGAGTTGTCGTTGGGGTAGTAGTTGTTGTCGTCGTAGGAGTGGTCGTTGTCGTTGTAGTAGTTGAAGTAGTCGTTTCGAGAGGATTAGTAATTACTGGAAATGTTATAGGTGTTACAGAAGCCATTTGTCTTTCCCCAATAATATGATTAGATCTTCCCGATGGTAAACACTTCTTTATATTCCAACTGTACTGAAAAACAAATTTATTTCGAATTTAGCATCTTACTTTTATTTTCTGTCATTTTTATATTTTGATCTGCGATTTCAACGAATGAAATATACGAGTATAACAGTTAATGTCGATGCAAAATATATTGATATCATAATTTTTATGTAAAGAGCAATTAAAATTGAAAGAAATAATCATGTAATATTAAGCTACTCTCAGTACACATTCTTATATATTCACATATCTGTTCAAATATAAATTCCACATATAACTGAAATATTTATAATATAGAAACATGCTTATTTAAAAGATAAAGAAGACATTTAACTATCTGAAAAAGTCGGAAACAATTGGAAAATTTCTGGAACGATCGCAATAGCTGGGCGAAAATAGAGAAGCCTGGACAGCAGGTGCCATGGTTATCACCCAATATCAAGAAGTTAAAAGCTTATTTTAACTATTTGAGCCCTGTGAGCACAAAGAGGACCCTATTTTTATATCTATCATAAGTTTGTTCAGACTAAAAACGAAGCGGTCGAAAACTAAACAATGAGCCCTGGGAAATGTCTGAGTCCCTATTACGGTAACAGTGTTGGGTATTAGTTGACTAAATTCTCAATTACGATTGAAATGAACTGAATGAATTAGTCTAATTTTCTTTCTCCATTATCTATATGTCTGTCCATTTGTCTCTCTATTCATCTGTCTGCAGACGGCCAACGAATGACAGTGGAAACATAAGTCTTGAAT